ACACAAAAACAGGTAAGATCTAAATTCAGACACATAACACTTTCTACTCTGCTCCTCAAATACACCTCCGGTCATGTCCTCCTGATGTTTCACATTATTTTAAAGGGCCTAAAATATCTAATTGCACTATTATAAAAAATCCAAATGCCAAGAGTTTTGGAAGGTTCACCACTTGAATTTTAAATTTGAGTGTCACACAAATGACTGATTTTTCCCCCATGATAAATCAGAGATTAGAAAGAGCAGAAACTCAGCAATCGCAGGTCAGAAGGGGTAGGCTGAGTCCCAGAGAAAAACCTCACTAACCTCACAAGTTTGCAAACCTCTTGGTTCGCATACTCATTTGGAGTGAGTTTCTTCTCTTGCATAAGGTCCTATCATATCAACATAAAGCTCAGAGTTAGGGATCTTAACATAAGAAAGACAATTCACAAACCTTAGCTGAATTAGGTAAGAAAATTTTGCATGGACCCTCCCTTCTTTGAACCTTCACAAGTTTTACCCTGAAATGACCCATTTAAGCAGTCACCACCTCCTCTGGGATTAACTCAAGGCAGTGACAAATGATCAAGTGATATAATATCTACTTATCATTTTTTCTATAATTTGTCTAGTTACTGCATATTCTCTTAGTTCAGTTTAAATAGATATGAATTGACTACTAATAACCTCATTTGATCTTTATATCAACATCTATGGAGTAAAAAGGGGAAATATATTATTTCTCCTTTACAGATTTAAAAATCAGTTTTTAATTGAGGGAGGGAGGTGGGACAGGGGGCAGGGGAAAGTGGTGGTAAGAAGGTGGAGACAAATGTATTTAAACAAAAAATAAAAATTTAAAAATGGAAAGAAAGCTTCTAAAATTATATTGCAATACAGTTCTGTAATTCTGTGACTACAATAAAAACCACTGAATTGTAAAAAAAAAAAACCAAACACATAAATTATAAAAAAATTTAAAAATAATCTGTACAAGATTTTTATTGAATCCATGATTCTTATTGTATAAATGCATAAATATGAGATAATAAATAAAGTAAAATGCTGGAAAAATAAAAACAAAAATAAAAAAATAAAAATCAGTTTTTAAAGGACAAAATGACTTATTTCAATTTATAGAGTTACCAAACTGAAGAAATTATCACTTAAATAAAATAGAATAATTCCCAAACCAATGCTCTTCCTATAACATTCATGATGCTGTCTAAAACCTTCAAACATGAAAGAACAATAGAGGTTTTCACCATCTAATTTAACTATGCCATTTATTTGATAAGTAATTGTCTGGGTGAAGATTTGTGCAATGGAATTAAATTTTATATAATTCTCAACTCTAGTATCAATTAAATATTTTTGATGTTCTTCAGCCTGATATACATTTTGTAAAATTTGTAAAAATAGGTAACAGTATATTTTAACACCTTAAAATATAGAATTGATAGAGTATCAGAAACCACACTGTCATTTTCAAACTTTTGTTAACTATATTCACGTTGGCAAAGATAATATTAAGGAGATTTATTTTAAATCACAAATATAAGTCACTTTTTTATCAGAATGATTTAGAAATAGACAAAATATGTGAGAGAATATGACATAACTAATGCATAGATGAGAATGAGCAAATTTCAAAGAGGGTCATATTCAGAAGGAATTACTTAACACTGAAGTTAATAATTTTCAATCAGTAGAAAAATCTATTGGAATGAAACACTTAGGAAGCACATACAATGCTCACTCCACCATGGAATGAGAAAACAATCTATTGTCTCAGAATTAATGGAAAGATAGGCATTGGATATAATGAAGTAAAATACATGTAGAAAATAAAGTAAAAAAGATTTAAGACTGAAAGAATGTGGGTGAATTAGGGAAAGAAGAAAGAGATAAGGAAGAGAGCAACAAAGAAGGAACAGCAAGGTATATAACAAGTGAAGAAAATTCCAAGAAAAAAATAAAAGCGTAAAATAAAAAATAAAAAGCTAAAGTAAATGTAAAAAGAATAATCAAGGAGACTGAATGTCTGAAGATAGAATTAACAGGAAGAGAATAGGAAAAGATTTTTAAAAAATAAGAAACAGCAAGAAATTGAATGGGAAAAGGTGAAAGAATAAGATGCTAGCATGGTAATCAGATCTCCAAACACCGGTCTCCATGAGCTGGTCTGATAGCAGTGGAAACCCTGGCATGCTCAGTACTGAGGCTGTGTGTCCATACTCTGATATATGGGAAGGAGATTATCAGTGTCCTCTCTGCCTGTGTGTTTGTATCAGTTGAAATGACATAGGTTAGAGATGGAAGCATTCTAGTCTCCATCTTAGCCTACACTAACAATACTTCTTTGCCTTATCTGACTAGAACAAAAAGCTTGTCCTTGTTAGTTCTGTTGTTTTTGGCTTTTTTTCCCCCAGGAATTCATTTTATACAGTGTAATGTCCATCTGAGGCATATCTGTCTTCAATGTCTGTGATGAGCACAATTTGAGAATCACCAGAACAGAAATACATAAAAGAGAATGAGAGAAGGAAATGGATTAAAGATCTTAATAATAAGGTATTCCATCTGTTAGTAATAGACATGGATGATAGAAAATAAAAACAAATGAAGAGTGGAAGATATTGTAACTCTCAGAGTGCTGCCTGTGTCTGGAATTGTCTACCCAAAGGAGCATGAAATAACTGTGAGAACCTGGAATTCACCAAGTGTCAGAATAGGTAATGGGAACTATTGACCTACTTTCCTAATTTGCTTCAACTCACTATGTGTGTTTACATGTTTTAATATGTATTTGTATGCACAAATATGTGCTCATGTGTTATAAATTCCTGTTCCATAACCTTTGACTACTAGTTACAAATGTTACTAATCACATAGAACAAATGTTCTGATGTTTAGATGTGCCCCAAAACACCAGAGTATTGCTTAAATTTCCCATGACTTTTCTATGGACTTACTAAGTCTTATTTTTCCTATTATTTCTTTTCTCTCTTCCTAGCTCCTCTTTCTAGGGATACTACCAATAATTTCTGTCAAATTTCAATTGACAATTTTTTCCTCTCCAATCTTCCCCATCACATTCAATAGCACTTAAAAAAAAAGTTTGATTGAGATATACTCAACATAAATATGCCATTTAGAGTATAATTCAATGGTTTTAAGTGTTTTTACAGAGTTATGCAAGCATAAAAATACAATTTTAGAATATTACCATCACCCAAAAAGAAACCTCATACTCATTAGCAGTCATTCCTCCATCCTACCCTTAGCTTTAGGTAACAACTCTTCTATTTTCTGTCTCTACAGATTTGCCTTATCTGAAAATTTTGCATAAATTGAATTATACAATAAGTGGTTCTTTGTGACTGGCTTCATTCATATAGCATAATGTTTAGAGGTGTACCCATGTTGTAGCACATATCAGTAATTCATTCCTTTTTATTGTTAAATTTCATTACATTGTATCCACAACACTTTTGAAAAATAAGTATTACATGTCATTTAAAATCAGGGAAAATATTGTTATTTGTTACATTATAGTATTTTGTTACAATTAGCAATCTTTCATTTTTAAATCATTCTAACAAATATGCCCAGATATCACAATATTGTATGTGCATATTTATTTATAAAAATATGTTTCTACAAGTATAGTAATATAAAATTATAAAACAATCACAAACATAAAACATTGTAAAAGCAAAATTTATAATAACATATAGAGAAAGTCTACTATTTTATGTACCCTCGTTAATTATCTTGTGTGTATCTTGGGGTGAACACAACCAATCCCTTCGGAGACCACTACACAGACTAAGCTTTACTTCTGAATGTCATTCACATGAGTAGAATTATTATTTAGACTAGATTATTCTCCCAAAAGGAGAAACATTTACACAAGCAATATCATGATTAATTATTTAAGTGCCTAAATAAAAGTACACCAGTTGATGGAAAGTAAATAATTTCCTAACCACTTTAAACTAAGGAATACATGCCTTTTTTTCTACCATTTCCTAAGGAGAATGAAGAAAATCCATTGCAAATTTAAGAATCTTAATTGCAATTGCTTTATTTTTCTCATGTGTCAAGTGAATATATTAGACTATATGTGTCATATTACCAGTTTTAGCTCTAATATGTTTTGATTTTACTAGTTCGAGATAGTCCAAATATTTTATATATTGTGATCATTTATATTATATAAAAATATTTGTGAGAAACATCATTGAACTATCATTATGAGATCTGAAGAAGAAATAGGTTATAAACATGTGGTGAGCAAATGAAATCATATTAGTAGTAAGACTTAAGAACAGGGTGGGGAGCATATGCAGAATTGGGACACTACCAGGGGTGTAATTCTGGGGGGATATCTTTGGTGAAGTGTAGGTATCTTTCTTGAGATCCTCGGGACCAGTTTGAAGTAAGGGTACACAAGGGTGCCAAAGCAGAACTATGTCATGAGAACTACTAAGTCACAAAATCAGGGAGGGGAAAGGCACAGAGCTACCAGCCAGGAATAAGACATTCTATAGGAACTAAAGGAAGACACACCTGCAAAAGCACTTGGCTCTGTATGGAGGAAGGCAGGTGATCAAAACCCAGCAAATAATCTAAACATTAGATATAGTACACTCACTAACAACAACAACAACAAAAAAACAGAACATCTTTATAATGGTTAAGTTTTGTTTTAATCAGGAGATTTCTCACATACCTCAATCAGAGTAGCTCAGAGTCCTACAGGAGCACAATTATGTAGACACACTTAAGTGGGAACAATAATGCGGCTATAAGAGCAGTGTCTTAAGGGATTCAAGAAAATAAGGGATAGAAGGTTAACTCAAAACAGAGTTATGAGGCATAAATTGTTTTCAGCTAGGAAATTTGTGATGTGGCAAATATTGTTTTTATTTGGCTAAGAGCTATGGAATAAATAAAAATGTGTTTATAACACATAATATTTTGTTCTTTGTTATCCTGTAGACTGAGGAGTGATGGAGAGTCAGAACAGCACGGTGGTGAAAGAATTCATCCTCCTTGGTCTGACTCAGTCTAGAAATATTCAACTCCTGGTCTTTGTATTCATTTTCATTTTCTACCTCATCATCCTCCCTGGGAATTTCCTCATCATTCTCACCATCAGATCAGACCCTGGCCTCACAGCCCCCCTCTACTTCTTTCTGGGAAACTTGGCCTTCCTGGATGCATCCTACTCCTTCATTGTGGCCCCCAGGATGCTGGTGGACTTCCTCTCTGAGAAGAAGGTAATCTCCTACAAGGGTTGCATTGCTCAGCTCTTTTTCTTGCACTTCCTTGGAGGAGGGGAGGGGTTACTTCTTGTTGTGATGGCTTTTGACCGCTACATCGCCATCTGCCGTCCTTTACACTATTCAACTGTCATGAACCCTAGAGCCTGCTATGCCTTGCTATTGGCTCTGTGGCTTGGGGGCTTTATTCATTCCATTGTGCAAGTGGCCCTTATTCTCCACCTGCCCTTTTGTGGTCCAAACCAACTGGATAACTTCTTCTGTGATGTGCCGCAGGTCATCAAATTGGCCTGCACAGACACCTTTGTGGTGGAGCTCCTGATGGTCTCTAACAGTGGTCTGCTCACCCTCCTGTGCTTCATGGGGCTTCTAGCCTCCTATGCAGTCATCCTGTATCAGGTACAAGGACACTCTTCTAAAGGGAAGGATAAAGCTCTCTCCACATGCACCACACACATTATCATTGTGTTTCTCATGTTTGGACCTGCCATCTTCATCTACACTCGTCCCTTCAGAGCTTTGCCAGCTGACAAAGTAGTTTCTTTCTTTCACACAGTGATTTTTCCTTTGATGAACCCTGTGATTTACACCCTTCGCAACCAGGAAGTGAAAGCATCCATGAGGAGGTTATTGAGTCGGTACATAGTTTGCTGAATGGAACAGAATGAGAAAAACAAGAAAAGAGAGTCTAGTTTGAATTAATTAAATCATTTATTTGTTAGCACTGAATCAGTCAGTCAATTAGCAAATATTGTATTTATTAAGTGTTTCCAGTTTTCTGGCACTATTTCAGGTGTTTAAGACAGGTAAAATTCCCAGTGTCCTGTGGTTACATTCAAGTGGATAAAGACTGGTTAAACTATTAACTTGAAAAAGGAAACACTATAATATTCAAAAGAGATAGTGCTCAGAGACAAATAAGAAATAATATTATGCTAGAGTTTGACTGGAAGATGGTAGTTACTTTATTTTTTGTTGTTAACCAAGGTCTTGTTGAGTGGTGTTTAGTTGATACTGGGATGACCTGAAAGAAACAACCATGCAATTACCTAGGGACAAGAAATTTCTGGACAGAGATGATGACTAGTATAAGGACACAAAGATATTATGAGCCAGGCACATTTGAAGATCATAAAGAAGGACAGAGTAGCCACAGTGCAATTAATGAGCATGAAAGTGACAGGAATTGAAATTGGAGAGGTTGGTATGAGCAAAGTCTTACATTTTAGGTGATTGTAAGAATTCAATTTATTTAAATTTCAAAGACAGGACATTAAGCAAAAATAATTATCTAATGTTTCTTATTTGACTTAAGGCCAGAGTCTGAAGATTCTGAATTAAGGACTTTGTGTAGTAAAACAACTTTTAGTAGAGAGTATCATGCAATTAAGTATTTTTTATGGACTCTTAAATACCTAGTTATTTTTTTTCTAACTTGGTGGATGGAGAAAAGGAAAGCTGTTATATTCCATGGGACACTGTCCTAACTATTTAACTTTATATTTTAAAGTTTTGGAGAGTTGTATCATCATTTCTAATTTTCTTTTTAATCTTGGAGAGAAATTTGAGTTTCTCAAAAATCTTTTCACCCTGAATACAATGATGATAGGTATTTGGTGTCTCAGTCATTATTTAGTTACAGGTAACTAAACCACTCTGGTTATTTTGTAAAATGGGAATAATATAATATAATATAAGGTATTTACAAAATCATGAAAAACTCTTAAGAGTAGCCTTTGATGTGGCAACCAGTAATAAATCTCAAGGCATTACTAACAAATTGGTAAAATAGGGAGTTACTGTCCTCATAGCAATTATCTAGCTAAGAAATACAGAAGTCTTTTTTTTTTTTTTTTTTTTTTTTTTTTTGTCTGCTGGTTCTAAGATCACAGCACTTGAAAATATTCCAGGGCTGCTCTAGTACTACTAGATATCCCCACACAAAAGGGAAGCCTTGCATTCTGTTGTCTTTGTGCCCACTTCCATTATTTCTAAATTTAAATCTCACACATAAGCGAATCAAAATCACCGAGAACACATCGGGGTTCGATTTTAATCCAAGAGGTCTATGGATGAACCACAGATAGACTATCTTATAAAGGCTGCAAATCAGCTTAAACCTAACAAAACCCCCATTTGGATTAAGGCAGGGCTGCTCAACCTTGGCATTATTGGCATTTGAGGCCATAAAATCTTTTCTTGTGGGGAGTTTTCCTGTGTACTATAGATTGTTTAGCAGCAATCTTGACTTTCACTTACTAGGCACCAGTAGAATCCCCTCATCTGTAAAAAGCAAATCTATCCCAACATTTTGCCTGTAGTCTGGAGGGCAGATTTGCCCCAGCTGAGACACATTAGATTAAGGGAATTAACCTCCACCATCAGGGGTGTCCATGCTGCTCAGGATGGCTATGAATGTGACCCAACACAAAACTGTAAATATACTTAAAACATTATGAGACTTTTTTGTCATTATGTGTTGCAATGTATGTAATGTGTGGCCCAAGACAACTCTCTTTCTTCCAGTGCGCCCCAGAGATCCCAAAAGGTTGGACACCCCTGATAGTGAGATGGATAAACCATCTTTTAGGGAAGCATATATAACTTAAAATTTTTAATGCAAATATCCATAACAATAGAAAAACACTAGAAATACCAAAAAATAGAAATACGTTATCAAAAAATAAGAGAGAAAAATAGATAACTAAAACATAAGCACAGATTATCCTGAGTATGAAGTAAAGAAAAATAACATTATAATTACAATGATTAATGTGTTCAAAATAATAGAAGTATAGTAAATACGTTTAAAAAAATAGATTTTGAATAGAAAATTGGAATCCACAAAAAGAATTCAATGAAAATTCTAGAACTAAAAATAAAAATCCAAAATCAAAATTCATTAGATGAGTTTAAAATTAGGTTAAACACAGGACAAGACTAAAGAGTGAAGTCAATAGAAAATACTCAAATTGAAATGCAAATATGCAAGAATGGAATATACAGAAGAGGACATTAGATATAATTAAAATGTCTTATATATGTGCAGTTGAAGTCCAAGCAGGATAAGGAAAAGGAAGAATTGAAGAGATTCAATATTTGAAGAGATAATCAAAAAAATTTACAAACTGATAAAAGACATCAATCCACATATACAAAAACTCTGTGTACCACAAGCAGAATAAAGACCAATAAATGATCCAAGCACATCAATGTAAGAAATATAAAATTAAAGCTGTTATTGGTAGAGTAGTGTGAAGAGTAGAAATTAGTTTGTTTTTCATTGAAAAAAGCCTTAGCGTCCAGTGTCTTCAGTTTGGTCTTGTGAGCCAAAGTGAGGTCTGTTTTCCAGTGAGTGCAAGTAAGAAATGAACAATGTCCTAAAGAGCAACTAAAAAACTGTAAATGGCATTATAGAACAAAGATATTTTTGGAAAAAAGAAAGAGAAAAATAAAAGAGAAAAGAGAAAAAGCTTAGAAGCATCTCATAGGGAAATGCATGTTGATTTGAAGAGAACAACTATAGGACTAACAGTTCATTTTAAAACAGATTGGGTGATTTTATTTAGAAAATTATAAATGAACAAAACTGATTTTGTCTTATGTTTTGTTAGTTTCATATGTTTCATTTTTTTAACAATTGCATTATATTTTTATTTTCAGTTGCCATGTGTTCACTACAACTATAGAAAAGTACAAATGATTTTAGAATGTTTATTGTATATCCTGTATCTTTGCTGAACTAATTCTAAGAGTTTCTCATAAATACATTACTTGGGATAGTTTATATAGACCATCATGCCATCTGTACAAAGGCAGAGTTTTATTTCTTCTTTTCCAATCTGTATCTTTTTTCCTTTATTTTTATGGTTGACACTATTATAGATGCCCCTATTCCTCCCCACTCTGCTTGCCCCCACCCCGCCCCTGGCCCCCTTCCTTCAGCCATCACCACACTGTTGTCTGTGTCTATGAGTTATGCATATACGTTTATGATAATTTTCTATAGCAAGAACACTAAGTTAATATGCCACAATTTAGTTAAATAGTAACCTATTAGCATAATTTTAATTTTTATTTTTATTTTTAATCTATATGTTTTTATTTTTAATGATAGTTTCTTTTTTGTAACATATATTTTATCTAATACAACAATCTCTATGTTTAGATTATTAGGCCATTAACATATATCATGATTATGGTTTGGTTAAAATTGACAGTCTTCCTATTTTGTATATGTTCCATCTGCTTTTTTCAGTTTTTTTCTTTGTTACATACTTGAATGTTATTGAATATTACTTCTTTATATTTACTATTTATTTAAAACTTACTCATATTAATAATATTGGCATCTTAGCAATCTCTTTTTCACATGGTAGTTAGTGGTTGTGTTAGAGCTATGAATATAAATTTTACATTTTTAACTTATCACAGTCTAACTTCCATATTATATCTTCCCAGGTATTACATAAGAAAGTTACAACAGTAAGCTTCCACTTACTTCCTCTTGGCTCTTGTGTTATGTTGTTTTATATGTAAATACTATCATCTCTGAAGATAATACATTCATCAAATTAAAAAATTAAATTAAGGAAATAAAAAATACTATATAGCTGTTCCCAACTTTGATAGAAGGTTATGAACATCAGTCATCAAGAACTTAGTAATGGCTGTTAGAGATAATTGATCTACTGAGACAAAGATACTATGATTGAGATATTTGTAAAGAAAAAGGAGGAGGAGGAGAAAAAAAGGAAAAGGAAAAAAAACTAGGAGACAGAAAAAAGTTTTAAAAAGGGGGAGAAAGAAATATATAGGTCTATTTCCCAGCTTAATAAGATTATTAGATTTTTAAAGTAATTTAATAGCAACAATAACTCATTTAAAGATGTTTCTCTGATCTGTGACTTTAGAACTTTAAGAACTTTAATTTATGTTTGTGATTTATTCTGCTATCATAAAAGAAAGAAGAAAGTCACTTGCCAAAGACTGTTTGGGAGAACATATATATCAAAAGTCATGGCTTCTGAGGCTAAGGCATATGAGACTGAATGAGAGTAGGCTCCTATGGACATGCTGGAAATGGAGGAATTTACCTAATTCTAAAAATGTGTAGCCAGAGCCTCAGGACCCAAGGACTGTCTCATTTGTTCAAAAACAAAAATTCTTTTTTAATTTTTTTTGCTTTTATTTTTTTAATATATAAATCATGTTTATTCTATTACAGTTGTCTCAATTTTTCCCCCTTTACCCCCCTCCACCCACCCCACCCCCAACCCCCGCTCCCACAGTCAATTCCCACTCTGTTGTCCATGTCCATGGGTCATTCATACTTGTTATTTGTCTAGTCCTTTCCCCTTCTTTCCACCATTGTCCTCTTTCCCCCTCCCCTCAGGTCATTTTCAGTCTGCTCCATGTTTGCATGCCTGTGGCTTGTTTTTTTCATTAGTTTATTTTGTTGAATAGAGTCCAGTTATAGGTGAGATCATATGGTAATTGTCTTTCATCAACTAGCTTGTTTCACTTAGCTTAATATTCTCCAGTTCCATCCATGTTGCTGCAAAAAGGTAGGAGTTCCATTTCTCTCCCTTTCCTTCTTAAATGCAGATTGATTTTATTTATTTTTTAAATGTCAAAGTTAATTATAAAATATT